GCGGGTCCTGGAGAGTGTTCAATAAACTTCAGATTTTGGCTAATATTAGCTCCTAGATCATTTTATCTACGGAAGCTAACTAGAGATTATTGATTGCGTTATAACTACTGGATGAAATATATATCATCATTAAACGTTTGGAAGGAATTAACTGGCACTCACCAAGTGCCAAACGATCCTACTAATATACTAAGAGCTTCAAAAGCTGTGTGAAATCTCCATCATTATGTGCTATCCTCTATATCCCATTTTTATCAATATTAAGGAAAATACGATGTCAGGATGGTTCTAGGAAGGTTATTTAAAATAGATTAATAACACAGCTAATACTGGCTCTACATTATACTACGAAGAATTTCTCTAAACACTGTTTACTAGTTGGATAGCTTGAAGTTAACTCGTGCTCTTTGCCAGCGTACTACTACTACGTCATCTGTTTATGGATTTGAATCGCCTGTGGTCCCAATGTTTCTTTCTTTTAAAGTTACTCGATACATGAGACTCCATCGTAGGCTTTCATGAATTCATTCATAATCAAACTAAAATGTATCTTATTTTCTCCCACGAAGCACCATATTTACTGTGTAACTAATGAATTTGTGAATCGTTATCACTCCCACTTCTGTGAATAAATTATGTTCCATTAAATTTACGCTGATTTTTTTGAAAAGTTTCAAACCATTTTATATTCAACATTAAATTTCGTAAAACATATGATTATACTTTTTTCTAGTTCATCTATTTCTTACTTTATCATTAGTTTTGAAGTAGCGTAGCGTAATTTATTTGTATATATCATAATTGCTAGAACGTTTTACGATTCTAAAGGATAATGCCAATAAAAGAGTTGATAAAGGTGTTTTACTGAATTGTCCTTCACGAGGACAGTATGTCCGTAACGTATATAAGATTGTATATTCTTGATTCACGTAGCAGAGAAAAAACGGCAATAACACAGTATTATAACAATGAAGGTTGACCATCAAATCGCCTTACACTAAAAGAGGCAGATAATCTGACTGGAAAGATCTGTAATTTAAACTCGTTTGCAAATCAGAATCCCCTTTAAAAGTAACCAAGCATAGCAAGTATTTAAAAAGTGCAAGTGTTCAATATGCTTGGGTTTAGTAACAGACCGATACATTATGCTTTGAATTTACCGAAAAACAATTTTCATATTTAGATGGTAGAGAAAATTTCTAGCTCAGGCGGACGATTGTAGAGGGGTTACGTTCTCTGAGCTAGAAGTTTTAGTTGTGGAGCTTTCATTGTTCTTCCGTACATCATCAGCACAAACGTGGAGAAATTCAAATACTTCACTTCTATCTAAAGTTTGTGCTGATGATGTTGTTCAGGAGAACAATGAATGCTCTACAACCAAAACATCCAGTTCAGAGAACGAAGCCCCACCACAATTTTTTGATTTGTTGAATATCTATGATAACAACCCTTTCGTGAAAACTATATGAAAACCATATCTTAGTGATGAGATTTCAGCTTACAACAATAGAGCTATTTTGACCAGACGAAAGAATATAAATATTAAATTTTAGCAGTGTTTTTGGATTACCTACTAATTTTTCGCTTTAGTTTTGCTACCAGGTTATTTTAAATATGGCTTTTGAACTTTTGATTTTACTGTTTAAAGAATCAAACCTTATCATTCTCCTTAAATTTAAGCCTATTCGTTGGTTGAAACTCGTTTTTCGTTATTGATAGCAGCAGGAAAACAATTTGTTTGTATTAAAGCAGAATCATTTAGTACTTGTGAATATCCATGACATCATAAAGTGTTAAAACTATTTTAGTATTATTATTAGTCTGAAATTATGCATTCAGTTTAGCAAGGTTTCTTGCATAGAACTCACTTGTATATATATGACTCGAAACTAAGCGTAGGTTTTCGAAATATTGTAAGATTCCATTACGATCTCCCGGCGTCACTTCTACACATGTCTTTGTTTGCATTTTTATCAGACTATTTTTGTGGCTTCTTAGGGGATTTTTCACAGTTTTAAGAACTTGCGTTTCAGACCATCCGAGATTTCCAAAGAAACTGTGCTTTTATAATCTTAAGTGATATTTATTAATGCACTACTCATACTCAGCACATGTTATCTGAAACTGTAGGTGTTTCTTGGGATAAAAATCAAGTATCTTTTACACTCCAAAATTTAGTCTAGGTGACCTTATTTATCCCTTTACTTGTGATTGTTAGGCGAAGCTGTTGACAAGACAGTAAAATACACTTGTTAGTCTTAGGTTCTCTGCTCTTCGAATATTTTTTTGGTCTAAAATATTAGTATGTTCGCGTATTGAATCTTTCTCAACCTCCTAACAGACTAGAATCTCTCGTTTATTAAGAAAGGCGTATTTGCATTACATAAATAACTTTAAGTTATAGATCATGCCAGTGCTTCTTTGGCTGATTAAATATTTTCTAAATGACACATTACTTCTGAATATTAAAAACAAGGAAGCCGGTGGACGAATTCGTTTTCAAGAAATGTACAGTTAGACTATGCAATTTTATAATAGTGCCAGAAAACATCATGGAAAATACAGTTGAAGAGAAAAATACAAATCGGCGAGAAAAGATGTTTGGGGAATTTCGAACTCTCGAATCTAGGGGACGAAAAAGAGTAAATACATATGTCTCATTGAGAACGATCTTGAGCTATTCCATTCAAAGACATTTACCATTTGCAATATTCAAACGTTCAGAAATCAGGCAATCTACACTTGTTACTATGGCTGGTAGTCCGATTGACACTGACTTCCTGGACTTGTATCAAGCCCTCGTCCGTCCGCCCCTAGTTGCCTTCAAATTTACTCCTACGCTATACAACACCGCCTAGTGGTTGGGGATATGTAACACATGTCTTAATCACTTCGCATGATGGACATTTACTGCTATTACTATTGGTAGTTAAGGCCAGGGCGAAAAAAACAAAAAGATGTACTTCCCTTGTAGATAGAGTCCAGGTCTCACTTCGTAGATGACAAAGAATTCTCCTGTTGTAAGGGGTTAAACATGAAGAAACTTTGGAAAATTCGGATGAATTCTATGAACAAATCCAAAGTCGACTAATGAATCAGTAGAATGATTGGAATCAAATAAAAATGTTCAAGGATGGGATTCCTAACCGCTTTCCGCTCACTAAAGACAAATTAGGTTAGCACTGATCCTCAAAGCTTTCACTACAGTCTGATCTTATCATGTGATACTCTGAGGGGTGCTTGCTGAAACTTTTAGGATACTATGTGATATGATGAGAACATCCTCAGGTTTCTTTAAATCATGCTACAGTCCTTTGTTCCTTGAATTCTCATTTGATGTTGTGCATTGACGAACACTAGTCACAGGAAAATTATTGATTGCTTTTTTTCCAGTCAATAAATTGTTTCCACTCTATTCCCTGCAATAAGTTAAAAACAACCCATGAAGTGTATTGTGAAAAAATAATTCAGTAAAAAATTTTTAGGGGATTTCAAGCGGCTTAAAGATTTATCTCAATAGTATGAAGTTGGATGCAACGAGAATGTTGTTAGTAAATTATTCTTATACGCATTTGTTGATCATCGTTTTGGGTATTATTCGTGATTTGATTTTCAGTTAAGATTGTTACTAATACTTTGGATGCTACTTACCTCTACTTTCTTAAATAAAATACGTATTCAGGAAAAACTCTATGTACTATGGTGCCTACTTTCGGTAATGTTTATGATATATGGGAGGGTTTTTAAAATAGTTGCTAACTATTATGAATGTATAGTTGCTTATCTTAATTCCCAGTCACCTTTGACCAAGAAACTAATTGATTTTGACTCAAAGGTTGATGACATTTTTATGTCTAAAAACTAAGAATTCACCTATCTACAATTGAGAATTCTCTGGTTTTTTTCTTAAGCAAGGTCAAATACCATGTAATGCTTCAGCTTTAAAGGAGAGTCACCCAACTAGCATCACATAAGTCCATTTTATATTATTTTCCAAAAGTTCAACTTTTCCTTTTTATGTTGGATTTGTTAATACAAACTTTGAATAATCTATAATAATGAAATAATAATAATTTTTGATGATAGTATGATGAGTAGAAATTTGTATTTCCGATGTTTTGTGATTCAGTGCAAGTCACTTCTTCAAAGTAAATAACTAAATAAATGAAGTAAATTAACACTAGCTTAGATAATAAGAAGGAAACCGAACAGAATAATTTTAGCACAACCAAAGCTGTAATCAGTTCGAACATGTCAATATCATGTAATTTTCGGTCAAGGTGATTTTGTGTGAGATTTTAAAATGTTATTTGTGAGTATGAAAGATGGCGAAAAATATATGTAATTTGTGACATGGACTCGTGAATGTTTACTAATTGGAATATCACCGAAAGCTATAATTGTTTTATTGCTGTTAGTTTTTCATCTAATGAAGCGATCAAATCTAATCTGGATATTGACTCCTATAAACTCTAGAATCATTCCTTTTATTCGGATTTGTCAAATGCACTGTAATTATGGCCTTCTTTTACCATCCATTTAGTCACTCAACATCTTTCTTCAGATTTATCACTGATTGATTTATCCTCTCTCTGGTGAATTTGAAGAAGCATTAATTTAAAAGATTCAGTATAATCTCGATTGTCCACATACATGTTCACAGTTGTACTTTGACAATTCATTTTTCAAAACATATGTTTATTCCTGGGATGGTTAGATTGATTAAAACTGTTGATTATCCTCAATTTGATCTAGAGGCTGATATTCAACAAATTACGCTTTTTCCAGTTATATTGTTTGGTTTTTTATATATGTCAAATACCCCGAAAGAACTAAAGCTGAAATAGTGATTATCTATTGAGATTTTAGGTAAATACTAAGTGTTTTAAGTAAAAAGCATAACGCTTTTAAAATCAAAGGGTTTTCATTCAATATTTTTGTTCTTTCATTATCCAACATTTTAGTTTCGGAAAGAATAATCAAACTAACAGCCACTTAGAATGACGAGTCACTTAACGCGCATGCAGTATGAACAGCAAAGGTTGAATGGTTTGGGTAGAACTGGAAGCTCTTCTTCATTACGTTCCAATGATCCCATACGTGTTCCATCAACTAACTCAATTCGTCCTGTAAATCAGTCAATCAATCAAGAACCTGCAGGATCTATTGTATCAGGCTCTTATATATCATCTAAATCCAGATCACATATTGGTTCAACCGGAAACGTTTACCAAAACATAATGAGGAGTACAAGACAAACGGATCCATCCGTTCATATACCATTATATCCGCAGACAGTGGAAAACGGATCAACTATTCTAACTAATAACAATAGTAGAACTGGTAGCGTTTCAGGTTATCAACCATCGGTATTATTAGCAAAGTCAACTCAAGGTACTCGTTCACTCTACGCTCCTAGTCATTTTAGAATGTCTCGAAGCTTAAAAGCTTCAAAAGTAAGCTATCAATCAGTTCAGAACTTATCATATTTCCTGAATGTTCCGCAAAAAAGGAAACCGATTGTAGTTGATTAACTGTTACGGTAGTAATAATCTTGTTAAGACAAAAAAGGCTAAGTGATGCGTTCTCATGGTAGCCAGTAAACAGCAATAGATACAAACCCCCATTTATACTCTCAGGATCCTAGAGCTTATGCGGGTCGTTGGTTTAGGAGCAGCGTTTTCCAACTCTCCTGGATGGATCTTCTATAACTACCGACTCGGATAAAACTCTGCTGATTCGTTTCTTGTCCTCTCAATTTCGTAAGCCATACACCACTATGAAACAGTGTAGAGTATTTCACTGATAATGACTTTACATGCGTCACCATATGAGGGCTTTTTCAGAGGGTGAGCGGATTGCTCACAAGTGATCTTGACAGTAGATCTAAGGCATGTGTGGACTTTTTCTCAAGGCTAACAAAAGAATAATTTTATAACTTCAAAATAGAAAACGACATTAATTTTTCTATTTCGACGAAACTGATATTCCGGGTTTCCATGAAACAAACGTTGTATCAGAAACAGCAGCTTTGTGATTGAAATTATAACTTTTAAATCAGGTTCAAAAATGCATTAGATAGTCTGGTTTGAGCAAGTCTGAAGTAACAGTTGAATTCACACAAAAGAGGTGTAGGTGACAATTTAGAAAAATATTTCACAAATCCGGTTTGGATAAATTTGTCTTTACTAAATACCACGAAAACGATTTAACTTTGGGTGTTACTTAGGGAAATAACCAGTTCACAGATCATGGAGACAGGTTTGTTCCAAATAACAGGTCTGACTCAATACCTTTTTCCATTGAATGAGAAAATGGGTGTTCAGAAACATTACTCTACTCTCAATGCCAGAAAGAGTCTTCAACACAGTGTTGACAAACCGAATGAATGTGTTGCCCAGTCCAGTAACAGTTTCCACATCTTCCAAAGCGTCTGTGTCGAGCGTGATTTGGTTGATGCATGTCGTGTTGTATCTAATGACCTCACATTTCCTCTTGTGTATGCTGAGGCCTACTACTGAAGAGACTACTGCCACACTGACCGCCTTCACCTGCGTTTGTTTACTGTGTGTGGGATGGAGGTGGTCGATCGTTTGTGAAGTTCAACTCGTCTAGCCACATCCACGCCGTTCACTGTATCTCGTGCTTCTCTTAAGATTTGAAGGTCTTCACAATCCAATCTACAAACTGAAGAAGGAGGAGCAGTGAGAGTGAGCATCCTTGGCTGGAATGAATCTGTGAGCTGTTCGCCATGCACGACTCCACAGTATAGTCCATCATAAGAATTCCGTGTGATGTTGATTGTCTTCTCAGGTTCACCGTAGTACTGAAGAAGCCTCCACAATGTCACCTTGTACACTCTGTGAAATTCTTTGTCGTGGTCAATGAAGTTGATGTAGAGTGGTGAATTCCATTCAGTTGATTATTCCACAATGATCAGTAATGTTGCAGTTTGGTCGGTACACGACCGATGCTTACGGAATGCAGCCTGTTGATCTGGAAGTTGAGCGTCTACGTAGTCGCTCATTCGGTTTGTCAACACTGTGTTGAAGACTCTTCCTGGCATTGAGGGTAGGGTGATGCTTCTTTAGTTCTCACGTTTTCTATGTTTTCCTTAGCTTAGTATGTTGATGAGATGTTCTCCCTTGCAGTCTGTTGCTACTTGTTCTTCCAACTAAATCTCAATGAAGAGAGCGTGTAACATTTTTGCTTTTACTGTTATGTCTGCTTTCAGCTCCTCAGCTGGTATATTGTCTGGTCCGGCTGCTTTGCCGCTTTTGTAAAACAGCATCTCATCTGAAGCAAGTCTTCTTTGTTCAACCTGTGTCCAATGATTTCCACTTATTCCAAGCAGCATTATGTTATAGCTTTTTATTTCCGCATTTGCTTGAGTGTTACATCCTGTTTCTCACAATATGCGCACATTCTATGTACTTATAATGATGGTTGCTCTGGTTGTTAGGAGAAACTAGACTTTCACTATGAGGCTTCATCGATCTTCTAAATGAAGACCTTCCAACTGTCAGGGCAAAGTTTTAGTGGTTTGAATTATTTTTCCTGGTTAGCGTTTTTTTTTCCAAGTCGGTTTCCTACGAGATTAGGTCGTTAACCACATGCCCTACCCTAGAAGGGCTCCAGACAGACTTCCAGCACCTATTAGACTCGTCCAATTGGAAGTGACTTATGAAAAATGTTCGTTAAAAATTGAAGAGTTACTATGAATTACATAACCGAAAAAAGGTACAAATCACTTAAATTTAAGATGCTTTATAATACTGACTCATAGATAATGATAGTCATTCTTTTGAACAATTCTAGGCTTCGCTAGCAACATATAAGAGTGGTAGATCAACAATACAAGCTGAACACCATGATCGCAAAGTTCAAAGAGAAATAAATTCAGTTAAATTTGGTCGAGCAAAGAAACTATATTGGATTGCAATTGGATTTTATATTATGTTCTTACTGGTGCTATTTATCGGCCTACTTATCACATGTTTACGGCATGTTTATATGAATATAATTTTATCATTAGATATTGGTGAATTAACTGGTCCTTTATTAATTGCATGCTCATTTTTATTCTTTGGTGCTGGGATGAAATTTTACTACGATGCCTATCGACTTGGTTCGGAAGAACGTAAACTCATTAAGGTGAGTTTTACTGTATTAGAAAGTAAACAAAGCTTATCAACCAATTATTAATAGATTTATAAAATCGACTGAGACATATGTTAACAATGAGATTAGATTATCGTAATACTGCATCCCAAATCGAAATTGTTAATCAATGGTCTAAAGATATTGCGTTAGCCTTGACACTTCAATTAGGTTTCGTGTTTGAGCCTTAGATTATGATGAAACAGTTATCTAGTACATCTTGGCCATGAATAAATTACCAATTTTTGACATAAGTGATCTTCAAAATGTCATCAGTGGAAAAATATTGAGGAAGAATCGAAAGAATAGTTTATCTGAAATTGAAAGTAACCACATTAATCTTCAGATTTCACTTCTTAAACGGTAAGATTAAGATAAATAAGTCAATGAACGTTATGAACGGTAATAAATACTCTCTAGAAACCATAAAATTTAGAAGAAAAATTAATGTTACGAGTAAATTGTAAAATTTCTTGATGGAATAAAAAACACTAAAATATTTTGACGTACCAAAGATTGAATTTCAAAATAATACTTGCTTGTACAAGAGAATTTCAAATATGTAGTAATGATTATTATTATTGGCCACCTAATAAACTTATCCCCTTTTGTTTAGTCTCTGACGAACAATGCTGTTGAGATTAGTGCGGCTGGTCTTAGTCGTTTTGATTTCTGGGAAACACAGTCCTTACAGTAAGCTATACATTATTTTCACTCGGCATAACTAATTACAAGAAAAATATCCTTTGGATCTAGGCGTGGAACATTCTGATTAAATTATTCAGCTGTGTTTGCTAATCTTTTGAACTAACCCGTACTGGTGGTAAGCTAGTATTAAACTAGTCCGATTTGAAAAACACGATTGCTTGAATACTGTTTTTAACAATGTTGGTCACAAAGAACATTACAGTTAGTTAATTATTCTGTAAGCTTTCTGATCAAATATTCATGGTAAATGTTGTTTTTGGGAACTCTTTACTGATATCTGTCGTTATCTACTTGAAACCAAAAAGATCAGTTCACTTTAGTTAGAGGCTATCTGAAAATTAGTCGAAATTATGTGCGTCTGGAAGATCCAAAAGATATCTCTTTAATGCTACTCAACTTTTTAAAATTCTTGGTTCCTTATTTCCTAAAAATCTCTACATGTAAGTGAATTATTTAATCTGAGTGCAGTAACCGAGTCTTTTCATGACATGTTGAAGTGATTGCATCTTTGATCACTTTCCAGTTGTTATCCTTCGTAGTTTCCTCTATCGCTGAGGGCCATCTTGAATACGTTGAGTTTGTGAATATCCCAAAGAAACGCAGTATTAAACTTTAGTGATGTTGTAGCCCCCGTTTTCCAGTGCTTCTTGAGTTTTAGTTTCATCTTGGCGACAACCAAGTGGCAATCTGAGGCTATATCAGCTCCTCTCTTGGCTCTGACGTCCTCCATGGTCCTTCTGAACTTTTCATTGATACATATACGGTCGATTTCGTTCTGAGTAGTGTGATCCGATGAAATCCATGTAGCTTTGTGTAAGCGTTTGTGTGGGAATCCTGTGCCGCCGATGACCAGTTTGTTGAAGGCACATAAGTTTGCAAATCTCCCACCATTTTCGTTCCTTTCTCCCAGTCAATGTCGTCGCATGATGTCTTCATATCCGGTGTTGTCTGTTTCAACCTTGGCATCAGAATGGTCAAGTTCTTTGATCATATTCATATCAGAACCACTTTTCCTTGTAGTGTCGCCTGTTTGATGAGAAGGCATTGTATTTTTTACTTTTATTAATGTATAACATATAAAGATCTTGTAATCGATGCGGTTGTTTCATTACATCATTTCTTTGGTGAATATTAACTATGTTTAAAGAAATTTATCGCTTCATTTATTTGAAAAATCAATGCGAAAGTAAAGTAATCTGTAAATAAAATTTCTCAGTTAACATTGTGTTAGGATATTCATCCAATATCCCAAGATAATTGTTTGTAAGTTCAATTCTATTGGTCAATTCCTATTGGTCGTCCTGACTATCAATGTCACAGGCTTCAGTGTTGTTTCCCATTCGACCTAACTGCATAAATACGCATTAACTTTAACGTTTTATAACCCGGATCCTTAGCCTCTTCTGGACTCGAACCTCGTACTTTCTGGATGTTTGTAGAATACAGGTTCTACTTCATATAAAGTCTTCGTCTTTTACTCAAAGTGGGTTTGGGACGCTCGGATTAGGATAGCCTATAATTTCGCGGAATCCTCGCTCTCGTTTTCCGACTCAGGTAAACTCGTAATAGTTCAAGCATGTCAATTTGAAGTGTTGGCGTGCATGCGTAAAACATTGTTTCACGGAAAATGTCACCACAGTAAAATTTATGTGTCAATCATATCCGAACTTTGACTATGTAGATTAAATTTAAAAAAAACTAATAATACCTTATTTTTATATTGCAATGTATCATAAAATCAATCATATAAATTCCTTTCTTTTTGCAGTATAAAGCAGCTAGCCCATCTACAGTAGCTGTGACTACTGTTGACCAACGAGTGGCAGATGGAGAGTAAGTTTAGTGAATTATATTTATTCATGAATAATACAGTGGTTGAATATAAAGACACAAACTATTTATTTGGGATTCACCTTCAGTTATTGTTTTAAAATACTTTGACACCGTGTGGAATTAAAATCAAAGCATTTATGGCACGAAATTTTGCAATCACATACCAATAGTCAGAATAGATCCATTTAAAAGATTAAAATTGAAATGAATGCATAAACTCTTTTTTGGTTAGAAATAAACCCATAGTTTTCTCTCAACCGACTCATACACTATTAAACATTATGTGTCCATATCGATGGAGGCCGGAAATCCAGGTTCCAACCACCGAAGTTGGTGAGGAAGTACATCGATAACCGATTTACCTCGTAGTCTACGCATGAACTCAGCATGATTAATTCGGTGATTCCAACATACGTGAGCGGCACTTTGATGATATTTATGATCATACACTGGCAACAAAGGAATGTCCCCTAAGATTTCAGTACCATAAAACTTAAATGTTAAGCGCCTATCAATTCAGTCTAAATAACTAACTGTCTAATTTCTAAGCTAAGCAATTTAAATTTTGAAGGAAAATATCACAATAAGTCAGTATTTTTTTAACTATTTCAAAGTAATCAATGATTCTAACTACACGATTCAGTAAAACTAATCTTCTGTTTTCTTCATTTACAACAGGGAAAAACTTGTCAGTGGACAGACATCAAAGAATGCCTTAAGTCGTGCCCCGATTGGTTCAAGAACAACACTAATTATGCCTTGATCTAGACAATATACTTGAAAATAAGTCTTGACAACAAGTCAGTGTTAGTCATATTCTCACTTTTTTTAATTTCCATTCCTCCTAATCTTTTTGATATTTGAGATAAAAAGTGTAAATATGTTTTCAGATTGTTTGATTTTAAAAGTTGTATTTCTGACACCACTAGGAGTAATGATTGTTTACTCTGTAGTTATTTTAACACTAACAGTCAATAAACATAGAGCATATATTACCATTACCAATTTTTAGAAAACTTGTAACAAAAATATAGATTTCATTCTTTTAATACTTTATCCACTAGTTGTATATATATATAGATATATGTAGACTTTGTCTAGCTGACTAAAACCATTATCATGAGTTGTTCTATGATAAAATGCAAGCTGCAAGAATGAATACTAAAGTTATTACGTTTCTTGTTAAGTGTTCATCAAACACTATGCATAATTATCTGGAAGTTAACTGAATATTTGTTTAAAATCATATCTTTTGATATTATTATTGACCTTGGATTGCAACAACTGGTACCAGTGAATTTTCCTGTTATTTGAATAAACTTAACCATTTCTGAAATAGTTATATTTGTATTTTATCTACAAGAATATTTCTGAACTCTACTTTGAACTTTCTGAATGAGAAAACAACACGAATAAACACCCTGATTTCTGTTATATTATTAAGGCCCATCCAAACATTAAGGAAGTTTAGCTTCAAAACAATCGAACCAGATTTCACAGGAAAGCAAGTTTTGGAAATTACATACTCAATAACTCTAAGAAGATATTACCAGGCTGACTAACAAAAATAGTTATTTACATTAGTGAAGTTTTCTCTTTTGACAAAGCTCTTTGTGTGAATGATTGCTTTATTACTTCAATATTATCCACATTCAAAGTAAAAGAACACAATTGTCCTAAAACGTTATTCACCATAGCTAGTTTTAATCTACAAACACTGAAGCTGGAAGATTCATCACCTAGAAAAATATCAACATAAACTCAACACCGTGTTATATGTTCCCTTGTTATCCTAGGTTATAATATATGTAGCTCGTTACTCTGGAGATACATTGAAATTCCCAAGATCATTTCATTGGACTATACAGCACTCTCTACGCATTTTGCTTTCAACTAACTCTGTCATATTGATTTATTAAACCCGATTTTTTTTTCGTAAAATGCTATATCCTGTCAAATGACAGCATATAATGAGGCGCAATGAGTTAACACGTGTAGAAAAATACTTAGCATAAGAAACCAAGAAAATACTGTACCACAGTAACAATAAATGTTAACAGATCGATCTTATTATGGAACTAATACACGAATACGATTTTTTAGACATTTGTATGATTGGCAAGTCATGCAATGTATAAATTGAGTATTCAAAACCAAATTACACGACCAGAATAATGTGATATTTACATGCAAAGAAAACAACTGAATCGAACATTCAAACTGATCACATACGAAAATATAAAGCTAATCAGTACAAGGAAACTAGCAAGACGATACTTTGTTAGAATGTAATATTTAGTAATTGTTGTTACTACGATATTAATTAATAAGAATATGTGTTGGCTTTTCTTTTTGCTAACTAAAATCCACAGAAATGTTGCAATTTTTAGCCTAAAAACTAGTATCTCATAAATAATGCGCCGATTTTTTGACTTCCGAATTATAAGGTTTGTTACTTAAAACAAAATATTTAAAATCCTAAACGATCATGAACTCAAGGATACCTATGATACTTAGAATAAATATGTTCATTATTTCTCAACTTATGTACGTAATCCTTTGCGTAGGATTCATATATTACACCAAATACGAGGACACTGATATACAGGAAGAAAGGAATATATTTGAATAATTTGTACAAAAATAAGAAAGAACTAAGCCCGAAATAAGTCGGTATATAAAAGAACGTTTATCTACCAAAATACATTATACTTAAAAGGAAGAACTGTACTGTAACTATCATCTTAACACTGTCTCTGAGAAAATTCTAAATGTCCGAAAGCGTATGCAGAAGTAAATATGAAGGTTATGAACACTTTTTGGATTGACCACCTAGACGAATAAGCGGATAACATTTGCTTTCTAAAAAATTGTAGTCCAGTTTAACTGGGCTGTTTGAACATAGAAACGACATTTTAGGATTTGGTGTGGATGGATTAGATTTATGTACAACAGGTCGTCGATCTTCACATACACCAAGGACACGACAAGCAATAGAATTACGTCTTGCCAACTGTTGAAGATCAGTGAGTTGATCTGGAGGTCCCAACTTTTCAATGAACAGAGATAGAGCAATATGAGACTGCGTGAACGTTAGTAAATTTTCTTCACCCAATGACTTCAAATGTAGTGTTTTCGTAATTAAATTCTGAGCTTCATCAAATGCTCTGGATGCCATTAGATAAAGATCACTTGTTGAACGACCGTCAATAATACTACTGCTTAGTAAAGACGTCCATGTTTCGTAAGCCCCTGAAATACCTCCTACTTCAACTAGAGGTGAATTACGAGGGATGATAAATATTCCAAGCCGTCTGGCATAAGATTCCAGATGATTGTTCCGACTAATAAATGTACGTCGTTCTCCATTAGAAGTAGGATCCGGACTTTGAGGATTCAGATTTATTTCGATCCCACTATCTCTCTGAAGCGCACGTATAGCATAAAGGGTTGCAGTATTCAAATGTTGGTGTACACTGATCAAATAAACCTGAGAAAACATTTAGAATGAAAATACAGGCCACTAGATTTGCATAAGTAAACAAGCTTTTATTAGACAGAACAAACGATCAGTCAACAAAAATACAGAACTTATATACATCAGTTCAAGTTTCCATAGCACATCAGCAGACAGAGATAGAACTGCCAGTTCAAACCCCATAGCAGAAGATACATTACGACTGCATATGTTCCAGCCAATATAGCTCGGTTGTATCATCACGATAGACAAGTCCGACCAAGATAGCAGCTACGGTCGGGGCTAACGAATGAAGCAATTATTAATTAAAAATTTGTAATTAAATGCAATCCAAACACTAAAGTGCTCTGAGAAATACGATGATTAATGTAGGTTAAAGATACAGAAGCTTACCTCAAAACTCGAACCTATTTCATGTATCATAGATGAGACGACTGGTTTAACAATGCTTTTAAAATTCGCGGTATTCGACATTTTTATACTTTTACCATGTACACCAAATATATTGCCTTTTTCTCTATGTTTCTTCTTCTTTTTACTTTGACGACTGTTAAGCCTCTCGACATCATTCACAGGATCACATATATTATCTTGTTTATTCAGACCTCGACTGTCAGTGAACTTATTTTCTGACGTAGTTTGTTCTTTAAATGCTGAAATGATGCAATTTTCTAATAAACTTCCGATCAAAGTAGATAAATTTTGGAATAAGTGTATCATAAAGGCGTAAATAAACAGCCATTCACTTGAAGAATACAGCTCTAGTTGAAAACCAGAAACAATATAATCCCATGCTAGATAATAATATACATAAGTTATAAAATAAGATAATTTGATTTGAACAGGTTCAACAGGCTTTTGTGTTGATAAATCCTCAGGTTTCCCTACAGATTCGAAACCGTCCGTTATGTTATTTGTCAATTTGTTTTTAAGTTCAACACCAATGATAAACTCGACGCGTGTACACTCATCAAGAAAATCTGGAACACTTTGCAACCATGGTCCAAGAGCGGAACGTTGGCGTGAACGGTTAAGACAGTAGACTGCAGGGATCTATAGGATTTAATTAAAATATACATTCAAAAGATTAAAAGCTCGCAAAAATATGAATGCTCGAAATAAAAACATCTTAAAAAGTGCGATGTTTGAAAATCTGAAATACTTTTTTACGTAATAACACTGCTACCATTGTGATAGATTAATAATAAAATCTAAATTTAAGACTGAGATCAACGGACATCTGATCAACATAGTCAAATACATTAGAATCTAATTGTAAGATTCAACAAATATTATCATTTGTATTCCTTGAAAATTTGTAACTATGGAAATTTTTATGACTTGCAAGTAAAATGTTTAGCGACTAGTAATAACTCAACGTAAACTTCAACCCCTATGAAATCGACGTCGTTAGCACGATTTGAGAGATCTACATGCTCATTTGTGGTAATTGCAATTCGTCATTTAATCTAGAGATTATGACATCTGCTTGATAACACATACTTATACTGAGAGCAAATAAACTTTTAGGTTAAACCTATTTGCTCGATGTTTGAACAGTAAGCATTTATGAAATACAAACAGGTTGGTTGTAAAATATTAAGCGAAATATTTGATGGATTGTTTCTTCAAAAAAGATTCCACTAATTAAACAATCAAATCCATAAAAAACTACATAAGGTATCCATTAAAAATTAAAAATAGGATTGTTTAAAATACGGATTTATTGGTAGCTAATCTAATGGTCATGAGTGATGTTTAGTGGTAATATAAAAAACTAGACAAGATAGCCGAGTGATGACAGTACAGATGTTAAAACATATTTGAGAATATTTTCGAATAATTTTAAAAAGCACTGTATACGTGATCACAAAATGAAACGAACCAGTGTTAGTTTCTTATCCTACAATGTGAGGACAGCGGGTAAAATCCTTCAAAGCTAATTGATTTGCATCAACTATTTACTTGATTGTCATTTAATCACAGTTTAATAAAGAACCATCTTTATTCATTCAACTTTGATTTAAACTAGGGAAAACTATGACAACTCAAGACAAACTGTCTTTAAACAGTAAGTCAGAACTACTAATTTGATAATACAAGAGGCAGTACTTAGAATTCTGCACACTAGACTTTGAGTCACAGGCTTGGTTTTGGTCCAATCAATATCAATAAAGATTGATAACCTCAACATCAAAAGTACAGCCCTTTAAACCAGTCATTAGTTCTATCAGCACTACTGACTATCTTTGAAATATATTTCAAGAGTTCGGAACACAGATAATAACTGGCAAAGTCCAACCATTTCAAGAGTGAGGATAACCACCAGTACGATCAGATGATAGTAGTATTGTTTCACGAATTGACTAAATTCGCAGGTGCAGGTCGATGGATTCTGAATTGGTGATTAAAAGGTATTGTAACTGGCGCGTAACCTGAAGTCTCTCCGTATTTGTTTTGGATCGTACCATGAGTGGAAAATACTGTGTTCCGACTTACAATTAAACAGCTATCCAGTGATCACTGGAAACTAATGGTTGTCCAGTGAATGAAAAATATCATTAAATGTAGTTGTTACTTAGTTTTGTTCCTTCAACTTTATTGTCAGACAGCCAGGGATTGGAAAAAAGGCCAAATACATGTAGAACATCAGCAAATTCTCACGATAATCATTTGAACAGATTAAGGGCTATTCCTACATTCAGAAGGTTGATGAGGATTACATTACAGAAAAAGACTACAATAAATCTGTACTATATACATATATATTGAAAAGTGCACTTACATGGGCAAAATGAGCTGAAAGTGTACTGAAAAAAATCATCAAATCAGGAGCACTAGAAATGATGTTTTTTATTATTGGGCGATATGTAGTAGGTTCTAGACAGTGCCATGAATTTAGGAAGCAATGGAAATGCATCGGAGAGAAAGACTGAAGTTTAAAATCAATAGCATCCCCTTGCCACATAAGGGTACAATAAAACATGTACGTAATTGTTCTTGACAAAACACAAGTAGTTAATGCGGGTTCATTTACCTTGCTCGAGTCATCAGGAAACAAAAGAGCTTTGATATAAGGACAGGATAACTGACCAGATTTCTGAATAAATGTCCATAAATGATAAAGATGTAATGGTTCCGGATGCAAATCATGCCACAAGGCAAAATGTTCGTATGTACATAAAATATGATTCAGTCTTGTAAACAGACTTGAGAAATAAGTGAACGATTTGTGACGATCGTGAATATTTACCACTTTGGGCATATATGAAGGTGTGTTGGTTTGATTCAAGAAAATTTCAAAACCTGGAAGACCATATGCAGAGTCCTTTGGTTTAAACTTTCCTTCACCAGCCATTTTGCCAATATTCGAAGTTTCTAATAATATGTCACTTAGTGATTTCAGATTACTTATATGCCGTGACACTTCTCTACAAAAATCTATGAAAGAGTTCCACAGAACTTCTATGTCATTTTGGGCCTCATACAGTTTGGGAGGCGACGAATTTTGTTCCGTGAGATCAAGATCTGCATGTGTATATCCTTCAAACAGGTCGTGTTTATAATCAACTAGAGTTGGACCTATACGTTCAAAGATTGAATTTGTGAACTTTAATAACGCTTGAACGAATTGTAAGCGATTGCGTAACCCCATCAGTAATTTTTCTTCACCATCGGTAAATAATGAAGATTCACTTTCAAGATTTTCATTCAGATCATTTATATGATCTATTAATTCTGATACTGATAACTTATGCAAACAGTCATTACGAAAGCCACTGTAATTGTCAAAAATTTTTGAGGGTCCATGAATTGGCATACCATGAGTGAACACACAATAATCCTCTTCGTCAAAAACACCAACAGCAATTATTATATCACGCAACTGATAGATTGAGCGTCGTAATAACTCACAAAATGCAGCAAGATATTTATCCCTGATTAACTGTGTACAGTGCATATACATACAAATAAATATACTTTGAGCAAGAGAATCTCCCGTAATCCAATTGACATAAGCAGCTAAAAGTTCATCTATGATGCCTAAAAGCTCATAAAGTGACGAGAAAGGCCCCAAAGGTAACTGCTCATTAGACAGTGCCTCACTTATAGTTACAACTTTTCGATTTCCTTGGATTCCAGCATCCATTTTAGGGTCCATAATCTCAATAGCTGACATGGAATACTGCAAGTTAAACCAACTACCGTGTAATAATTCACCAGGTTCTAATGCAATTCGACAGGCATAAAAGAAAGCATTTGTTATATCCACTGGCATACAATCCGGGACCAAAACTGGTTGACTTAAGTTGGTAATATTCTCTTCTGAAGGTTCAGCAGTCATGTTGTACATAATATTTGTATCAGAGGAGCTAATCGTGTTTCAACACGATCTATGTAGAGATAGGACTCATCTCAATAAATAAACCTTCGAATACACTCTTGAACAGCCATCTAAAATAGAAATTTAATCATGTTTACTTACTACATATGATCATACTAGTCACATAACAAAACAGTACCAAAATTATTGATGACAGAGGACAAAATGAACAAAATCATAGGGAACAGCTGCATTATTCTTTATATTATACTTGGAAATTAGTTAAATAAAAAAAGTTAATCCGCCTATACTTTACCAACGGAATACCCAGTGTTTATTCAACAACACTAGTTCCAACTTAGAATTTAGTTAGATGTAGTTTTTAAGTTTCCAAACAGACACAATCATACTTTGACAATGAACTCAGCAACTGCTGCTGGAGGCAACAGCATGACAACGATCCTTACTAACATATCCCTACTTATAAATGCTAGTTACAAAACGACCTTATGAAATATATATAAACAGAAAACCTTTCAAAACATAGTGTATTGGTTTGAAATGGCACTCATTCAAACACTATATAAAGAAATTAACAATCACTGGTCTTCTTTGGCAGTATTCCTCATGATTCCTAATTCTTACATAAGCTATAACAATTCTTGAACAACAACCAGCGTAAGTGTGAATATAGGTCTCTTAATGCTTCAACTCTTTAAGTGCTGGCTTTATACCATCATCATTGAATTAAATATGAGATGAATTGAGACGCATAGTAAAAAAACCTCACGAAAATTGTTAAATAAGGAAAATGACGGAGGACTGAACCCTGGAGAAGCACCCAAGGAAAGAACTGGTCAACTTAATGAAAGACCTTAATGTCTAGGTCGAGATCAGTGTGCTATGAAACGACATCAACTGATAGAAAAGAAGTAGAATGGGGACTGACTTGTGGGTCTATGTATTTCTAAAATTATAGCCATAGGCGACTGCATTTGCATTCACAAATGTATACTAGCGTTTCGTGTCTCACCGAAAAAAACTACAAAAAAACTAAACAGTTTACATGTGCATCCACAGAAAATTTAGAAGGTTCATGGAAGACAAACGAACAAAGATTAGTGCTTGGCTGTGGTGAAATAAACTGAAATTAAGCAACTAATAGATAATCGGAAAAAATTTCATCACAGCATTCCTCCCAAATAGTAAAGAACTCAACAAGACCAGAATAGCTTTCAGCAATGGATTCAATGTCTTGAAAAATCTACTGGGGGAAGATGAAACCATTACGGAGAACTAGGTTATTACAAAAGAAGTAGCTTTAACATGTTATGAGTTGCCAGGCTCTAAAAGTCATGAGCATTAATATTGGAATTCTGAGGACAATCTGGAAAAGATCCAAGAGAAAAAAAGAAAAGATGGCAGTAAACAACAACGGAGCGAAAGCAGAGAAGGCAGTATATAAAGAAGCAAAAAAACGAATAAAAATTATTGAAGCTGATAAGGGGAAATATGTAAATCTAACGATTATAGCACAAAAAGCCGTAGGAGAAAATACACGCAAATTATATGGTACAACTAAGAAGCTTTAAAAGAAATACCGCACAGCAGAGCAACTGGTCCGGAACAAAGAAGGGAAACCAATCACTGAGGGTGAGGTGCATTGGGATAAGTGAATCACTTTGAAGAGATCTTAATCAGGTCAATTCCCACTAAAACTAAGCAGTGCACAGACCTTCTTACAGACGAGAGTCCACTAACAAAAGATATAAGCAAACCAGACAAACCCAGAATTGGAAAGCAGCAGGATCAGACATCATATAACTTGAAGCACGGAGGTTAGGCACAGGGGTGAACGTAGAGATGTTCACGTTCTCTTCAGGACTTAGGAAGAGAATTAGGTACTAAGGCTGAACACGTCATCAAAATACCGAAGATTTTCTACAAAAAGTTTGAACTGAAAAGTCATTCATGTAGAGCGATTTACAAACGTGCTTCAAGTGAAAAATTGCACTCAAGACTGTGTACTGTTGTCATTTCTTTCTCTGGTTGTATTGTGAAGAACTACACAACTCAGAGAACACAATGGACACGACTCTTCTACCGCACACACAGCAGCAAATACAGACGAAGACTACCATCGTAGCAGCGGCTCGCATAGAAGTATTACTCATCAATCACAATCACGAACTCTATTTAGAGAGTTATTTAAACTTGGGAGTTTATTTTTTAACGTACATTTTCATATGCCTTTTAACTTACTATGAGTAATACGGGTAGTCTGAATTAAACGCTCAGCGTTGGGTTCGTGTTAATAATTTCAGTAAAAAAACCCTGACCAATATGATTTCTCGATAAAAACTAACGTAAAAATAAGACAAGCTGACGACCTTGAGTTGACCAGCCACGGTTAAATTAATGTCCTATACATTTCGCGCGGGATTAAAATTACTGTGATGCAACGTGTATGTTATGTTATGTGAGAGTAGCGATAACTGATCTCTTAAATGATTGAGATCAATTAGGGACATCCATTATGCTACCAAGTGGTGATTAAAGATCGTTCTCAATTATTACTTGAAAATAAAACCTCTCCTAAGGTAAATAGTAAATTAGAGTGCTTGATGTCCAATAGCTTAATCACGAACTATCGTAAGCCAGTTGATTTCTTTGCTCTCGATTCTTGTTTTTTCGTTATGGTCCCAGGTATTCCGTAACGTCAGACTGAAGGCAGTCTAGTCACGATTATTTGAATTTTTATAAGTCGTCAGTTTTTTTATTGGTTCGTCCTTTGTTTTATGCAAGTGCGTTTGGCTCAGGGCATTAGGTATGCTGGACACCAGCAGTCAGTTGCGATCGGAGTATTTATAAGACGAACATTCGAATGCTGATGAGAAGAAGAACTGTGTAAATAGTAAGGTCAATTGATCTGCAGTTATAATAGTGTGAGGTGACAGCTCTAACTTGCAACAACAGCTATACTCTGACTGTGCAATCTTCCACTTATCTTCGAGGTATGATTTCAGATAAGTGGAAAAACGATTCAGATCAGTACTCTCATTCTATGGTTGCTTTAGCTACGACTATCCGTCGTTTAATAACACAACGGGTTCTCCTGATTGGCAGACTGGCCACAAATGGTTGTGATGATATTTATCCTCCAAAAGTATACTTTTACCCGAATTCACAAATGATGAGTGCCGAAAGTTTCAGAGAGCAATATAAAACACATCAAGATAGCCGAGAAACTTGCATCTAACGGTTACACATATAAATATAAGTTATCATTAGCAATTTAAGATAAAAAAGAGTGGATACAATATTCTATTTGAGGATGCGTGATGAGTTACAATGCATATGCTATCGAATTCTGCTGCATAACAGATTTGTATTTTGTGGACACAAGACTTGCGGCATAAGTTGGTTTCTATCCAGCAAGATTCTGATGGTCCAGTCTTCCGTTGAACAAGCTATTAGAGGGTGCTTACACCACTTCTTCGATTGACAGGATCCAGGAGTTGATATATCATTATAAACAGCCACGTCCAGGTCTGAAACCAGACTGGTTTTCTCGAGTCTGCTCTTCACGAGCTCTAGTTAGGCGTCTAAGTATTATGGAGGCTAATAAATAAGAAACTATATTAGTTAGACTGATTCTTCTGTGATTTCACAAGAGGACTTTTGTCCTTCCTTGTTGATCGGGACAATAAGCGACTGAGACCAGTCAAACGGGATTACGTCCAGTTCCCAGATGTACATACGTACGAAGTTCTACGTTGCACTTGACTGACTGACTGACTGACTACAACAGGATGGAGCATTTAAGCCTCTCCTCTGTGCATAAATTTTGAAACTCTGGAGTTCACGGGCAGAAATGCTGCTTATTTTTTCTTAGATACCCGAGTCCCCCTTAAAACATGGTCTTGCAGCCTGAGAGAATGCATTTTCGAAGTTTGGATAGCGCTAAGGTTTTACATGCTTGCAGCCAACTTCGTAAATGTCTGTCTTAGACCCGATAGGTTTCTGAACATTTAGCTGCAACCGAATTACAATGAGCTGTGACTAACTAATACACTAAGATCACTGTTATATCGGACTAGGGGCATCGACTTTGCCCGAATGCCGTACCTATATGTCATGGTATACCTAATGTGCATGTAGACACTTGTGATCGCTTTCATACTCAGCAGCTAACCAAAACGTCACAGTCACCTTAAAGTGCATTAGAGTATATATTTTTGGTAATCTCTCGCCAAATTTTCACGTCATTAGCATAAAGTAACATCGGTGTCAGAACGATACTACGTGGTTCATTAGCGTGCATTATAAAACTAAAGGAGCTGGAACCGATCCTCACGGTAACCCGCTAAGAACTGGTTTACAGGAGGAACAATTAGATGTTATTCTTACGTTCTGTGTTTGACCTGCCGAAAACCTTTGCTTTACTTAAGTGGATAGCTGACAATTCTTAGAATTTTCAGCTTCAGCACGTTATCGAATGCTCTGCTTGAGTCCGTATTGCTATAAACGATGTTTTTGCACAGTAATTATTTCCTAAAGCCAAGCTGCTCATCGTCTTACAGGTTATTTGTTTCCAAAAAGTTCATTAAAGCCTGTTCAAATATCCCTTGTGGTAGGTTAACCAGGATACTGATGAGGCAGATAGGTTAATAGTGCGTCGGACACTGCCTTGATCTCGTCTTCTAAATTAGAGTGGCAACTGCTTTTTTCAATTCTGTAGGTAACTCACACCGATCAAGTGGCATGTTGAATATCGTGGTCAGTAGTGTATTGTGCAATTTATATCATGTGTTTCGGTCATGCTGATGTCTCCATGCCTAAACTACTTAGGGTCTTTAGTATATCGTCATGATCAAATTCCACATCGTGTAGGTGGTTCGATGGTTTCGCAGTTCTTCCTTGTCCATCTTCTGACAGGCGTTCCTGAGCGTTCTTAGTTTCGAAATAAACTAGTTTGAACGCAATAAGCAATTGACAGTATTTCTTGCACTTAGTGACTGAACATCTAA